GAGCTGGGGGTGGGGGAGGGGGAGGAAGAAGTGGGGGTGATTCTGTCCCCAGAGTCAGGGGCTGGACAGGGGGTTGTGCTGCTGTCAGCCCAGGCAGGGCCAGTGGCCTAGCTCCATTGCCTGGCCCAACTGAAGGAGCTTCTAGACCAGCGGTTCTCAACCTGGGGGTCGACCGACCCTTTCACAGGGGTTGCCTGATTCATAACAGTAGCAAAATGACAGTGATGAAGTAGCGATGAAAATAATGTTATGGTTGGGGGGGGGGGTCACTACCATATGAGAAACTGTATGAAAGGGTCGAGACACGAGGAAGGTTGAGAGCTATTCTACATTTCCAATCACCATCCGGGCTCCAGAGAGAGTGAAGGTCTGGTGGTCGTGGGGGTTTTGTGAAGGGAGGGGGCCGAATGCCGGCATCCGGCCTCACCTTCCCAGAGACGATCTTCTCGTAGATCTGGATGGGCTGGTCGGCGAAGAAGGGCGGGTAGCCGGCTGCCATCTCATAGATGAGGACCCCCAGGGCCCACCAGTCCACAGCCTTGTTGTATCCCTGGGGCAAGAGGCGGCAGCGGGTGAGAGGAAGAAGCCAGGGAGGGCTGTGGGCAGAGAGCGGGAAGGGGGCTGGGGAAAGACCTACTTTGCTTAGAATAATCTCGGGGGCCAGGTACTCAGGGGTCCCACACAAGGTCCAGGTGCGGCCTTTGACACGCTTGGCAAAACCGAAGTCTGTCACCTGCAGACACCAGAACGGGCAGTTGGTGGGGAGTGTGTGTGTGTGTGTCTTGTGTTCTTGAGTGCTCCTGTGTGCGCGCGTGAATGCAGACCACAGCCACCCTCACCCGGCCATAGCACCTGGATGTAGCCCTGCTGGTCAATGAGGAGGTTCTCGGGCTTCAGGTCCCGGTAGATGAGGTCAAGTGAGTGCAGATACTCGAAGGTCAGGACAATCTGGGCTGCGTAGAATCGGGCATGGGGCTCGCTGGCAGACAAGCAGAGGGGCTGGGTGAGGGCTGGGGGGGTCACAGCCAGTCAGGACCTGTCCACCCAAAGCCGTCCAGCTAGTGGGCAGCCCTAGCTGCCCCAGCACGGCCACGCCGGCAGCGATGGGAGAGCACACTGCTGTGTGGGAGTTGAAATGTGCAGGTGCCTGGTCACTGAGGAAATGGAGAGGCCACAGCCGACCCCCATCCCTCACCCCGGCACCAGGCTGATGTGACAGGTTGAGGAGGGCAGGGCAGCCGCTCACCTGAATCTTCCGATCCGCCGTAGGTGTGAGAACATCTCGCCCCCGGGCACGTACTCCATGACCATGTATAAGTTGGAGTTGTCCTGCGGGGGGGGGCAGCGGCTGGTCAGAGCCCCAAAGTCTGGACCTGTACAGCAGCTCCCAGCTCAGAGGCCTGTGCTGGGGGGGCCTGGTGCCAGGCTCACTGCGAAACCTGTCTCATTCTATCTGCCCCTGAGGTAAGGGGCAGCTAGCTGGCACCCCTGGGACCCCGCTGTGACCAGGGGAGAGAGGGATGGTTGACCAAGGGTCGGGAGGGGTCTCAACCCAGTGCCCGCAGGAGAGTTCTCCAGGACTGTTTTAAGCAAGGCCTTGGGGTCAGTTCTGTCCTCTGTAAAATGGGTTCAGGACTTGCAGGGCCCCAAATAAAATGGCAGGTCCCTTGCCAGACAATTATTAGGACGAGGCTCGGCCCTTGTGGGCACAAAACCCTGGAGACTGCATCACTGCCTGTGACCTTGGTCCCACGCGGCCTTTTCCAGCTCTTGAAGCCCTGGCGTAGCCTGCCCGGCGCCCCTGGCCCGCACAGGGTGCTCACGACAGCCCCGCCTGCCAGGCAGGCACTGCTGGGACGTCCACAGTGCAGCTGAAGAAAGGAGGCTCAGGGTCTCCCGGCCAGCAAGCACGGAGTTGGGATCCGTAGCCCACGCTACCGGCTATGTTAGCTTCCTGCTGTCCACGTGTGGCAATTCCAGGGAACACCCCACTGTCAGGGGGTGTGTCCCAGGTGAAGTTAGAACTCAGCAGGCCTGGGAATTGGACTTGGGTCTAGCAGCACCCCGTCTTTGGGGACCTCCTGCTGCCTCTTCTCTACGCAGTCCCCGCCTGCTCTGGGAGCCAAGAGGCTGCACCCAGCTAGCCGTGCCCCAGCAGCTTCCCTCTGGGTGCTGCCCTGTCCTGTCCCGTGTCACCTGCCCGGGACCCCAGTGCACCTTGAAGGAGAACTCGAGCTTGACAAGGAACGGGAAGCTGACCGCTTGCAGGATGCGCTTTTCATTCAGTGTGTGCTCGATCTGTTTCAGCTTGACCACCTGGGAGGCCAGAAAGGAAGGAAGGGTGAGGGGGACGGGGGCGCCTGGGCCAGCGGGGTCTTCAGCTGGAAGTGTCTGAGGGCCTTTGAGCCCATAGGCACTGGGCTGGGCACGGAGGACACACTGGGAGGCAAGGGTGCCGTGTCACCCAAGGGTGCACACGGGACAGTTTAGCGTCCATGAGCCACCCAGCCTGTGGAAGCCCAGGTAAGAAGCTTGTCAACAGTTGGGAGTGGGAGCAGGGTCAGAGAAAACTTCCTGCTCCTGCCCGCAGTTGGGCCAGGGCTCAGAGAAGACTTCCTGGAGGAAGGAGCATAAGAGTAGCCCAAGGGGTAGGGTGTTGACAAACAGCCTCTCTGGGGTCTAGCGCCACAGGGACCCTGGACTAACCTCATCAGCCTTTGGGGGGGCCCCCAACAGCACACAGCATGAGCCCGACACTTCCACCCTTACTCAGAGCGTCCCCATGGGGGCCACATACAGGGTGTGCCAGGAACCCAGACAGGTGAGGTGGCTTGCCTGAGCTCCGGCTGCTGGTCAACCCTTTGAGGCTTGATTTCCCCTCAGCTTGGCTCCCAGCTGCACCCTCGGGGTCTCAAGCTCAGTGCTTGAGACAGGGAGGGCTCGGGTGGGCAAGTGAAGTGATGGCTGAAGCATCTAAAATGCACATCCAAAAAACGGACTCTTCTCCGCAGACTCTTGGGACAACCTGGGCTGGGGCAGCTCTGGGAGTTGGGTTTGCTGGGGCAGCACCTGCCGGCTGGCTTCGGAGACCAAGCAAGAACCTGATGCATCGCAGTAGGGAGGCTAATTTAAGGTCACGTGTTAAGGTGACCACGTTATAAATCTATTGCCTGATGAAAACAGATTGTTAAGATCTATTTCACTGGTTCCTTTAAAACAATAATAATAAAACAAAAATGGGGACTGCAGGTTGAAGTTTTCTACCCCTGAAATCCTACTTGGGCATGCCAAGGTTGCACTGCTCCAAGCCAGAGGCTGAGAGACTGCCTGGCATCAGGCCGGGCCTCAGAAATAGGGGCGAAGAGGGCAAAAGTGCCTGTCAACACGCGTTCCTCCTCCAGGAAGACCCCCACACTGGCTGGCTGCCTGCTGTCCCGCCTCTGGGCCCCATGGGGCCAGGCACTTCCAGACCTAGTATCACAGGGCGGGCTTCACAAGGCCGCTTGGCCCAGGCAGAAAGCAGGCTGAGGGCCGCCTGGCCCCTCTGGTCCTCTGGCCCTCTGGCCGGGGAGCGTTAGCAGGAGCCGGGAGGGCAGAGGGCTCACCTTCTGTTTGTCGAGGATCTTCATGGCATAGTGGTTCCCAGCTTCCTTGTGTCTCACCAGCATCACCCGCCCAAAGGAACCCGTGCCCAGGGTCTTGATCCGTTCAAACTGATCCAGATGGGCTGTATTCTGGGGGAAGAGGAGGGCCCAGGTCAGGGCATCCTCTCTGCCACCAGCAGAGGGGGCCCCAGGCAGTGGGTGGCCTGAGGGGGGGCGGGGGCGGTGAAGAAGCGGGGAGAACAAGAAGATGGCGGAGGGTGCATTCCATGAGGCGGGTGGCAGGGGCCAGATCCGGCCCTGGCCTGGGGCCCGGGAGTGGCTGGCAGCTGCGTGGGGGGCAGGGGCTGCCAGTCGGGAGGGGGCAACAGGGTGGGGGAGCCAAGCCATGGGCCATCAGGGACCTGTGCCTGGGAGCCTGCATGGGGGAGTAGGAGCGCTCCCTGGGGGTTTTGACAACACCCGTCAGGGCCATGCTCCATGAACTCGCCCCTCCCATGATTCTACACTGGGGGCTTACCTGGGCAGGATTTTCCCATTTTTTAAGGAAATCTTCTTTGGCTTTGGCTAAGAACTCTTTCACTGAAAGAGAGAGAGGGGGGAAGGTTGAATGGACACCCCGCCTTGTTAGAGCAAGCCCAGGCTATTTCTGAGGAGCCACCAGCTCGTGCAAAGTAGTGGACATTCTAGAGCCGGACTTTTCTCCGTTGCCTTTGGGGTAACCCTGGGAGTTTACGGGCAGTTTGGGAAGGTCCTGATCTGGGCTGGGGCCTGGGCCTCCTTGCCCTGCACTACAGGAGATAGGATCTGTTCTCATTCCCATCCAAGAAAGGGGTACAGGGCAGTTTGGGGGTCACTCCAGAGGGACAGAAAGCAGTGGCCAGGCCAGCCCACCCCCATTTGCCCCAGTTCTGACCGACATTCCACGGCCAGGGAAGACGCCAGCAGAGGTATTTATAGACCAGGGATTTGGCTGTGCCTCCGGCCCCTTCTCTGGGGAGGATGGGCCTAGGGTAGAGGCCTCTGGGGCTCGGGTAGCAGGCGTCCTTGGGGGGCTTGGGTAGCAGGTGCCCTTGGGAGACTCAGCTGTCACCCTGTCCCTCAGCTGGCCTTTGCCAATGGCGGGGGCCCTTGACAGAGAGCTGGTTCGAGGGAAGCCCCCTACAGAGAGCCCAATGGTGATACCTGCCCACAGTGCCCCCCACCCCAGCTGACCTCGAGAGACGTAACCCATAGCGGCCTCATCTGTCCTACGCCATCTGATTTGCCTGTGCCCCTTCATCCACTCTCGCCATTCAACAAGGAAATTGAGGCTTGTGAGCAGTGGTCATCGACCACGTGGGGAGAGGTGGCCCCGCACAGTGGGAAGGGGCCAGGACTCTGGGCCGAGACTGTGTTCAGATGCCAGTCTGGGCCTTATGAACTGTGAGACTTTAAGCCACTGGCCTCGCCTCTCTAGGCCTGTTTTCCGCCCCCGTCTATGAAATGGGGAGAATGGAAGGACTGACCTCAAAAGCTGGTTGTGAGGAATCAAACGAGTTCCTCTCTGTAGAGGGAGCTGGTGCAGGCCCCCCAAAACGTGAAAAACCAAACTCACTGCTTTTCAGTCAATTCTGACCCATAGTGACCAGTTGGGAAGATTACAACTGCCCTCTTGGGTGTCTGAGGCTGGACATCTTTACAGGGGCACACGGCCTCATCTTTCTCTCCCACGGACAGGCTCTCCAAACGCAACTTGCTGCCCTGAGTCAGCGCTGATTCATTGTGACCCCAGTGGATTTCCGGGAACCTTAACTACTGACGGGAGTAGAAAGCCTGGCCTTTCTTCTGAGGGGCTGCTCGTGGTTTCGAACTGCTGAACATGCGGATCACAGCCCAACATAGAAACACTGTGTGGAGAGGCCATTGGGTCTGAAACTGCTGACCCTGTAACCCAGGGCAGGCTCCTTCCAGTCAATGCTATGTAAATGTCTACTGTCATTTTTTTTGCCTTTCAGTGTTTTAGGAAAGCGAGGTATAAAATTCGTGCTGAGGTGAGTCAAATGGCCACGCCTCAAATCCACTGTCCAATGGACTTTCTTGTTCCGGACTGGCTGCTCTGGCGCCAGGCCCAGAGTGTTCTCTGGGAACTCTCACTCTGCCAGGTGGGAGCTGCTACTGTATCCACTGTGGGGATAAGGAGGCTCCGAGCAGAGAGACGTCAGCTTCACTGCTCCCGATTCAGTCGGCAGTTCAGGCATTGGTCAGTGCATCAAGGATGCCATGGGCAGTGCTGCCCTCAACCCTGTGTCATCTGTCTCCACTGGTATATGGGACCAGGCACCTCCCATGGGCAGCTGCTATTCCCCCCATTGTCGCCAAGGCCCCCTCTCGGCGTCCCCTAGGCCACTGGGGCTAAGAGAGTGGTAGGCGGAGGCCTATTGTTGGTCCAGGGAGCCTGCAGTGACCCAGGCCCAGAAAGGGTTGACACAGAGTGGCCGGCAGCCCCAGGCTGGCACCTGGCAGCGCCACCAACTGCCCAAGAGACTGAGCTACACCTGCAGATTGAACCACCTTCGGTAAGTTTACTGGCAAAGCCTTTCACTCCCCCCAACCTCTCTCACAACTGCACATAGTCCCGCAACAAATTGTGGGGGGAGCGGGCAGAGGGCAGTCCACCAGGACTTGACTGTCACCCCAGCCAGAAGGAAGAGGCCCAGCCCCGCTTCCTCCTCTTCCAAATGTAGCTGCCCCAATGAAGGCCCCGGCTAGCCTCTCCTCAGGTCTCTGAGCACCCAAGGGCCCAGGCCGGGCACGATCAACGGGGCAGACTTGAGGGAGGGAGGGTAGGGGGAAGGGAATTCAGTGTCTGGAAAAGCCAGTAGATAAAGAAGGATAATTAGGGGTGGAGGGGAGAAGTGACCAGGTGCCCCCCCCTTCCCCACTCACCTCCTCTTCTTGCCCCTTCCAGCAGAGGGTGGGATAAGGGGTGGGATGGGGTCATCTGGGGCCCAAGAGCTCTTGGCCAGGAAACCTCAGGGGGCTGGCTGTGGTTTGGGCAGCCCGAAAGCTTGGCGCAGGTAACCCAGAACGCGGAGTGCCAGGTGGGCCCAAAGGAAGAGCTGCAGCCACAGCTGGAAGGTGGTCTCTGAGTCCCCCCCCAGGTCCATCCCAGACCTCTGTCTCTGCCCGTATCTGCCCTTTGCCAGAGGCGGGCAGGCGCAGGAAAGCCGGAGCCTAGAGCCTGTTCCTCAGAGGGCCCTGGGGAGGGCAGAGGAGGAGCCGGTTGCCACGGCAGCATTTAAAGGTACCTGCTCCCAGCTGGCCACCGCGTGCAGTGTGGGAGGATTCTCCTGAGAGTGTCCCTCCTAGCTGCCGCCTCCCCCCACAGCCCCCCCACCCCCGGCCTGCCCTCCCTGTCCGGAAGCTTAAAGCAAACTTCCTAAGATACCAGGACCTGCCTTCCTCAAGGCAGTCACAAGACTGCCCAGAGGATGACACCTGACATGCCCAGGGCAGCGTCCACCAGGTGAAGGAGAAAGGGTTAAGGCCCAGGCGGTAGTCAGACACACCCTGGTGGTGGTGGTGGCGGCGGGTACCAAAGCCCCAGCGTTCGGATAATTAGCTGAAAGAACAGCCGGAGAGAA